AATTCCACAGTGGACTATTTGCTGCTTTTTTCAGAGATAAATCAAAAGGAGAGGAAAAGAAAAAAAAACACTGGTAGAAATACCTATCCAGATTAAATTGCAGTGGGAGCAAAAAGGTTTTTATCATGTTAGCGATATCAACATTTAAGCAGAAATATTTACCAAGAACTGGAGGATTCAAATGCACATTCCTGGTTTACCTTGTTAATTCTTTGCTTTTCCATTTCCAAATTTTCTACCATCTGCAGCTCTGATGTCTCCCAGCAAACCCACATTACCACAGCCTGGTCTGGTTGATTATTAGGTACGCTTGGTCTCCCAGCCTAGTGGAGCCAAACTACTTAGCAGAATACTTTGCTCATCTGTAAAACAGCATCCCTTTTACACAGAATATGCTTTATTCAAGATATTTACGTGGGAAATAGCAGTATTTCACAAGACTGGAGAACAGTCTGCAACTTTCCACCTCCAAGCTCTTTCTTGCTTTAAGAAACTGGTGTCTGCCCACGAGGGAGAGGGGTCCTGATCTCTCAGAAGTTTGTGCTAAGAGGGGTAGGAAGTTTAGCACCAAAAGCAAGGTTTCATCTACAACAAATTTCTGGCCAAAACAGTCAGCTGTAAGAACTATTATTATGACTAATAGATGCGGATATCCAAGCAGCCAGAAAGAAACTCTCAGCACATGGCCTGATCCCTCCTGATAACCAAGTTGCTTCACGTGAAACCGTTCAGAAAGAGAGAAATGGTGCAATTGGGACTACAGACTCATTCCAATGACATTGTGGAATATAAACCAGCTCAAGATGATCAGCCACCACACAGGCAATCAGGCACTATGCTCATCGAAATGCTATCTAGAGAAAAAGCTGGTTACTTATTAAATCAGAGTTTATATTGATACAGAGGAAAACAAATGCATATTTAGCTTTTTGTGTGGATGGAAATGCATCTTGCTAAAGAAACTCCATGAAGTCTGTGTGCTCAGTGCGTTTCTCTGGGATATGACCCTATACCACACAGCAGCTCACTTATTTTTTGCTGATTTATTACGGAGCGTGAACCAACTAGAAAGTGTTTTCTCCAAATGCTTGCCAAAAGCCAAAACAACACAAGAAAGGGTTTTGCAGGTGAAAGTACCAAAATTTGTGTACCCGCAGGTGCAGAACTGATTAAAAGGCATGCATAAAAGGAGGTAATTTCTAAGCAGGTGTTTGTACTTACAAAATACAAATTAAGATATTTATACATACTTTATTGAAGTTTCTATAAATGGAGTTAATCTAAAGATATGTCTAAATATGTACCAACTTTAACTAATTTTAGATTAATGAACAAGTTTGTTAATGACACTTTTATTTTAGAAAGTGCTAAACAGTGTTCCAGAGCAGAAATGTGCAAGTACCAGAGACAAAGTGCAGGAGGACTCATTTCTTATTTTTCTATAGAGAAATTCTGCACTAATACAAATTGTCAAATCACATTATTTGACAGAATAAAAAGTGACCTTTTCAATATTATCCCAGTCTCATTACTTCTGATTATTTTCTTTAGTTAAATTTATCATTAACTATTTTTATCCATGAAACCAGGTGTACTTATGGAATTAGTCTCTGTTATGTATTTATTTGCGTTTCTTATTTTGATTTGTTTTAAATGTAATTTAAGACCTCATGAACAGTAACCAAACATTTACGTATCTATTTGTCCTACTGCTATTTTGCTATGCATGGAATTCATGCATTGTTGTTTTCTGTAACTATCACCCCCTATATACTCTCAACTATCCTTAAACTTTGGACTGATTTTCTTTTTTTCCTGTGAGCGCCTATTATTTAGTTATTCAGTAGCTACTAGCAGATGAGAGATTCATTCTTCATTTATTGGACGGCCATTATTCCATGTTAAAAGTCCAAAGATATCTGGCAATAAATAACTAAGGATATTTTAATAAGCGGTTACAAACCTTAATGCAGTGCTTTCTAGGAACTACGTATCTGCATGACATATATAGCCCATTCCCCGCTTTATCTGCCAATTTTCAGTCACTATCTTTTTAACCCAAATAGCATGAAATAGCATTTAGATAGTATCTTAGATGAACTGTTTCATTGTGCTCCAATCCTTTTTACCAGATCAAAATCCATCTCTGAGGTAGTTTCTCACTCCACGTCCTTTTCTTGCCACATGGGTATTTCTTTATTGAATAACTTGACAGATAAGAATTAACATGTCCTTTTCTGTAGGCTTGTTTGCACAATAAATTACAAATAATCCAGATATTCACTCAAATTATAGCATTTTGATTGTTTTCCTTTAAGTGTCCAAATTTTAGCCAGGAACTAATATTAACAACACACTGCCAAAAACCTTTACAAATTGGGTGCCTTCAGAGTCCACCAGCTCTGTAGCTCCTTTCTGCCTCTGTTAAGCTGTCTCTTTCCATTTACGCTCCACATTTGAACTCTGCGGATGTGTACTCTATTTAATTACACAGTGACAGCATGCACGAGGCACTAGACACTGTCAAAATTTGAAGGCAGGCAATCCCTAAAGACACAGTTTGCTATTTCTACTGAATGGCTATTGTTTCTCGCCTAGTTCAGTATTTTTGCTGTCGCCACATAAAGGAGTTTTCTGTAGAGCGTTTCAATGGGCTCAGCCTGTGCCAACTTGCTCCTTTTAGCCCCATGTTTTCATGTTGACTTGGATGTGAGTACTTATCTACTTACAGTAGTCTTACTGCTGCTTTTATTTGTGCCAGCAAAGAGTTTTTCATATTTCAGCTCCTAGCCTTCCTCCCTGACAAACACATATACTGTCTTAAAAGAAAGAAGGAAAAAATGTTGAGAGAAGAGCCAGTGTTTTGCTCCTCAAATGAATCCTAGAAGACAAAGATCAGAACTAACTAGACAAAAATGCCTAGTTAGTCACTGCATAAAGAAAAAAGCTGCATCAGCTCTTCTCTGACCCTTTTTCTCATTAGTACTCAGGAATTCACCTTGCTCAATGTGGCATGTCTTCCCAATTAGAGCTCAGGCCTCCAAAAAGGATACCAAAGTGGTAAGGATACTATGTGAAGTTGGGATTGTTCTTATGACCTTGCTCAACTGCTGCAGCCGCTGGGTAGAGCACATCCATACAGCAGCTGCAAAATTTTCCATAATTTCCTGGAGTCAATAACAAGAGCTGGGCATGAGACCTCTAGCTTAATAGGTAAATTTTCCGGTAGAGTTGAGGATCGCAGGAAAATCAGGACAGGGGATTTTTCTCAGTATCGGAGTGGGTTTTGTCCAAGGTTGTAGTTCGGGTCCAGAGTTAGTACTGATAGAAATCCAGGAAGAATTAACACAGGTCTGGCTATTTTGATCTTGTCTCTCTTGTGACTTCCAAAACATTGGGGTTTGGATTCCAAACAGCTTTATAAACATTATTCTCTCTTTCTTTGGCTAAAAATATGCCACTTCCACTTTGAGCTCCTGTATGCTGATGACCATATATATTAATCCCTGAATTACTTCAGCTAATAAGCCCCAAATCCTTAAACTGAAAATCAACTCTGAAAACACAGATTACATCAGTCCAGTTCCAGTGTTCCGTTACTTGCAACTACGGGACTAGGTCTATTGCAGAGAGTGATGAGGACCTGAGCACGAATGCGTGTTCATAACATGAGAAGTGTTTATAAGCAGGTAACTGGTTCCTTCATAAAATGCTTCCCTCTTTGGGCTCTGATCACAGCTGCTTTTGCAGAACATTATGAAGATAAATTAAAAAAAAAAACAACAAACCAAAACCAAAACACCCTCTTCATCCTAGATGGGAGATGTTCTTTCTCTGGAAAGGATGCTTCCTGACCAATTATAAACCAGAACAATTTACTGAGTTAAAGGCTTCTACATTTGGCCATATGCGTTTTTCTTTAGAAATGCAGCAACAATCAATCCAACATGAAAGCCAGACAGACATGTGACTGCCACTGCCCGCTTTAGGTGGAAATTCTCTTTTATTAGAAACTGCAGAGCATGTGTGTGGGCAGGAGGGAGCAGGGCGGAGAGGTTTAGTTCCTGGTTGTCATTCTTTAGGCGTGACCACAATGCTGCAATCTCTGGAACGCAGCTGGACAGAAAGGATGAGGAATGTCCCTGCCTCCCTTGGGGAAATCAGTCTGATGATGCCAGGAGCTGTGATTTGTCTCTCCAGGAATGTTGCCACCTGCAGCAATTAAGCCTCCTCTATAATATGATTTAAACAAGAGGATATTTTTCCTCAGAAACTGCCAGATCATTGTTTCCTCCAAGTGCCTCTGACAGGCAAGAAAATTAATGCAATGAGGAGTCCTCAAAATGGGGTACTGTGGCTGTCCTGAAAGCAGGTGAGGGATGCTGTGCATAGCTTGACAAAATTAAGTGAGCCTGACAGCTCCATCATCAGTTCCCCAGACATATCCATCAGCTAGCGTTAAAGGAGCTGAAACCATGTCTAATCTCTATGCTATCATCCACCTTCACTACCTTTGTTGGACATGAAACAAAGTGCATGTGTAAAATCACTGCTGGATGCATTTTATCATTCCACATACCACAAGCAGACTTCCCAACGAACTCCGATGGCTTCTGTTACATATCAGAAGACAAGAGAAAAAATATACAGACATGGATTTTTTTTTAAGTCTTTTTTAAAGCCTTTTAAAGTTTCCTTAGGATCTCCCTCAAAACAAAACCCTTATGTCAACAGAAACTCTTGCTTAGATATGCTTCACCCGTTGTTTTTTATGAATGTGCATGATCAAAGAATAACAGCTTTCACAGTTAAGAAAACACAGTTACACAGATCACACTTCACCCACAAAAGGTCAGATAATGCAACGTGCTATATGTTAAATACACACGAGAGGGATACGTTCCCCTTGAGCACACCGTGATGGGGAGTGGGGAGTTTTTTAGGAACATATTGTCCATCTTTTCAGGACACCCTGCAAAGCGCCTTTGCAAAGATCTTACCTGTTCAGTGATGAAGGAGCTTGAAAAAGTGACAGCTGACCAGAAGAAGATCCCACAGCTGAGAATGATCTTTCTGTTGAAACGGTCACCAAGGTAACCAAAGATAGGCGCCGCAACCATGAAACTACAGATGAAAACTGCAAAGGAGAGAAAAAGGAAAGAAACGTTTAATAAACGTCAGGCCAAGAACATGAAAACTAATTTTCTGCAAGCCAAATCCTCTAGAGAGCAGTTCCATCTAATTAGACATTCTGCATCCCTGACTTACAAAGTTGCGCAGTCTGATACACTTTCAAAAGTCAGTGTTTCCTTAATCAAACAGATTTTTCATTCCCTGAGAAATTTCAGGCCAGTGAACTCATATTACATTTGAAAGCACCAGCCCCTCACGGTTTGCTGAGAGCTCAGCATCCAGGGACGGGCAAAACCAGGACAGAATAAATTAAGAGCTTCTGCCCGAATGTCACTGAGAAGGTGAAGTGGAGGCTGGAAGGAATTTCCAGCAAACAGAAAGCAAGCCAAGGGCTCCTCGTTGGCTTTTGCAGCAGAGACCAGAGAGAAATAGGCCATAGAAACTGAAGTTCTTTCATCCTTCCTAGCAGTATTTTAAGGCACCCAGGAAACAGTGAGGAAAAACAGTAAACACTACTATCATCCTACTGGCACCAGCCCTGTAGTTAGACAGAGAACTCCTCATTAGGTCCTTTCACCAGTACTGAACTTGTATTTAAACCCATCACTGAGCAACAATTTCACTAAAAGGAAGAGTTTTAACCTACAAAGCCCTAGCAGGCCAGGAATGTCCTCTTCTGAAAGACTACAAGTTCACCTTTCCCCTTTGCTTCCCCCCCAAAAAACCCCAAAGCATTAACCCAAGACCTTCTGTCACATAGGAATGAGGCTCTTGATAGAATAACCTCTGCAAAATCTCCTCAACTTCAGAGTTCACTCCTCCAGCCCAGCTCAAAACAATCTTGGCCAGTGACACCACTGAAAACACCTGAAATGAGGCACTCACACCATATTCACGACTAATTTGGAACTTGGCAGAAATTGCCAGATTTTAAGCTGATTTATACCTGGCTTTTGTCTGTCCACATTAGAGATTTGGGTAAGAGCAACTACATCGATTTTACTGCCCTGTAGCATGAACTTTCTGACTTTCACTGACTGTCTGGGTTCAGCAAACCCAGGAGGATTCGGGTAGGCCACCGGAATACCTGGAGATCCCTCTTTAGTCAGAGTTATGACTCTCATTAATTATTGGGCAGTTCCTGGAAGGCAGGGTGGGCTTTTGGCATTGTCTAACCCCAGCTGTCTACTTTTAATTGTATAAAAGGGGGTGGAGGGGATAGAATAGGGAAAAATAAAAAGGCAAGAGCAGAGGACACACACCCCTTTGGTTGGAAAGCATGCATAAAATTAAAGTGGTTAAGACCCAAATTATGAATTTTCATGGCTGATGACATACGATAGCTCAAAAACGTGCAGAGTGCTGAACTATGAAATTATCTAAATGTCTCTTCTTTTTCAATATATTAAGATGTCAAAGCTGCTTTATAAATAATACATACCCATTTGCATCTATATTTTGTGAGTCATGTGACTGTGTGCATATCAATTTTGCACTTTGGTATTTCATAGGAATTACAGATTTAGTCTTTTTAAATTTAGAGTAAAACAAATGGAGATAATACAGAAATTTTAAGACATGAAAAGAAGCACATGCAACATTATATCGCACATACAGCCCAAGAGCCCCACCATGCCGCTGACACTGGTTCCCTGCTTACTCGCAGGACAGGGACTGCCTGGGTAAATGCTCTCCTTCCCTCGCAGGGACATTTTGTCACGCTCGCCCACCCCTGCAGCACAGTCCAGCTCCCTGAGCTAGCTGCACATCCCTGAAACCCTTGATCTCCAGTGAACTTGGCTCTAGTAGACCAGAAGTGGCTTACAAATCTCTACTCTGCAAGGGTACATCTGCACTGGCCCCAGTCCAACAAGGCACTTAAGCACATGCTTATATTAAGCACTTTAGAGTCATCAATTCCATGATTAAGTGCTTTCCTGAATTAACACCAAAGTGTTTGGCACCTTGCAAAGCTGGTGCGGCAACCTGGCACAAAGGGTACGTGACTGTTTATTGGGAATGAGAAGCAGAAAATTACTGTGACTCGTACAGAGCAGCGTGCCCATTGCAATCTGACCTTACCCTTGGAAGGACACAAATTCATTCATCTCAGAATCAGATATTCTGCCATTTTTACAACATAAAAAGACATGAAGCTAAAAAAGCTTCCAAGGGAAAAATCAGAAACATCCAAGTCAGCATCCCGCAATTTCAAATATCAAATAACCTGATTAATTCAACTTTGAGACATGGAGGGTGCGATCCAAAATTCACATTAATCAGTGGCATTATTAGCTTCAGTGACCTCTGGATCATAAATGCGAAGTCTAATTCTGGAATTTGGGCAAAAGCAGGCAAAAAGCACAAACCTCCTCTTTCCAATAAAACAAACCGAAAAAAAGATCGTCCAATGCCTTCCAACAACATACATCCTGCTGATACTCAAATCCCTTTGGAGAATTTATTTTTGGAAGATTCTAAACTGAGCTGTGAGCTCTGTCACCGGTAAGCAGCTGACTTGACAGCTCCACAAGGTGTAAAACAAAAGGACAACAGAACCTAATAAATAATAGGTAATGGAACACAGCTGTCGTAATAATAAATGCAATTTATATCAGGGTATTTATGACCCAAATACGCATCAGAGCATTGATTGACTCAAATAAATGCAGAATATGATGGCTGTGTGGTCTGCCAAAAGGATCTGCCTGTTACAGGCATTTCCTATGAATCAATTTTTGCAATTACTCCTGCAAATGACAGACGAGACTCCTGAACAACAGACTGGGTTGGCAGAATAGAGGTGAATGAACCTAGGGCATGTTACCAGGTGGGATGGAAACCCGAGTTACTCGAGACCAGGAGTTGAGGTTCTGCGACAACTAAATACCATGAAGGAGAGATCTTATCCAGAAGACAGAAAACTGCCAACACGTTCAGTTGGAGAGAGGGGCAGCAGAAACATGATTAATCTGTAGCGAAAGATGGCTGCAGCATAACACAGAGGGATGCATTCCAGTAAAGGAGCCTGGCCCTTGCGCCAGCCTCTTCCCATCTGGCTCCTCTCCCCTCTTCCACAGCATTTTCTGCTCCTTGCACTCACCCACTCCCCAATTAATACCGAAGTGACACCATAGCAGCTGCTGCTTCGGCTCAACCCACTGCCATAAATCTTTTATATTAGGAGAGCGCTGTGGCAGAGGCTGGCATTTCATTTGCCTCTTCCCAATCAACAGCTCCTCCTCCCATTTACACTTAAAGCCATCTCAGAATACTACCAAGTCTTCAGAAGACGTACAGTGCAAGCCAGGGCAGAGTTAGAAATCCACTGGGATTTGGGGTGAGCTACTGAAAAGGTAGTGATCGCGTTCAGAGCAGCTGTGGGCAGGGATAGCTATGTCAGTCACCATTATGTTTGCCGTACAGCTAATTTCTCTTGGTAAATCATCTCCAACGGTGCCAGCAGAAGTGGCTTGGTCCCAGCACTGGGTGGAGCTGCGATACATTTCTGCAGGAGCAAATTATCACGTGAGGAAAGGATGAATAAACAGACACATAATGAATGCCATCCCAGGAGGGAGGTTCTTTTAAGTACAGGTATTTTCAAAAGGAGATCCCATTTGTCATTATACCTCCCTTTGTGGCTTAGCCGCTGAAATGCCGACTGCGGTGAGAATGCAGGAAGAGTATAATTGCCCAAACAGGACAGCTTGGTGTCTATTTCTGCGTCTGAATGCCTGTCCCACCCTGTTACAGGTGCACAAGCACCTTTGCAGCCAGCACTGCCCAGCTTTGTCTGTGCATGGCTGGAATTACAAAAATGTGCAGCATAAAAAAAAAAATACATAAAAATCTTACACTTCCCACCCAAACACCCACCAGAGAAAGGAAAGCATCCTCCCCAGCCTCTATTGCCTACTTCACGTACTGTAGCTTCAGTCATCTTTCAGGGATTATGGCCAGGGAGCTGCTCCGCACGTTTCCCTCTCAAGAGCTGTCTGTGTACCCAGTGGAAAAGTAAACCCCCAGACAGTGGACACAAAGGAGACGAGGGGAGAGGGAGAAACTGTAGACTTTCTATTTAACAGTCACAAAAAGCTCCTGCCTACTGGAACTAGACTTCACTGCTCTTATTTTTCTCTTCTTTCCCTCCAAACAAAAATTTACCAGCTTGACTCTACAACTGTTCCCTGAAACAGCTCTGACCCATCAGCTTTCCACCCCTTGATTCCAAAGACACTGTTGCCTCTGTCTCACTTGCTCTTTTCTTACGTGGATTGATCAACCCTTTGTATCGCAGAGAGGGGCTTCTCCTGCCAGCGGGTCATCCACGTAGTATAACCAAGAAGGAAGAGAGGCATTGACAGAGGCTGCATTTCCTCAGTTACGGGAAGGTTGAGAGGATCACAGGAACCTCCAAGAAAAGATCCCTTCTTTCCGTTTTGACTTCAAGCACACAGGGTTTCTTTTTTCCTATCAGGAATAATGCTAGAAAGGTTCAGGTTCAGGTAAAAATAGCTTGTTCTCTCTACGCAGGGATGCTCAACAAGAAAAAAAATAGTGGCTATCTTTGAGCTCTGAGTCAGCATGAAACCGTATATACACGTCTAATTGAGTGCTGACAATGTGTTTGGCTCTGTGGAAGGCAAACCCAGACAGCCTCTGCCTCAAGGGACTGGCAATCCACTTAGACACAGCAAAGAGCTATGTGCTGTGAGGTTGTTAATATTTTCCCAGCAACAAATTTCCAAACAATGAGAACACCTAAACACCCAGCTCATTCTGGATAGGATAATTTACGGGTGTGTACAAGCAAAATCCTGCTCTTTCCACATGAGACACTGCCCTGTTGGGATTTGTTCGAGCCACTTCTACTCCAGAGACACTTGGTCGTGAACGCACGTGTTTCTCAAGCTGCTTATGGGACCAGCTGCCATCTACCTGCAATGGTGAATAAAGACTCTCCCAGGGGCCCAACCGGCCCCTCTGTTTCAAAGACATGTT